AAAAGAAAGGAATTCAAAAAGTCATCATCTGAGCAATTTTTAAAAATTTTACGAAAAAAATTTTTGAAGGCTTAAAATTTTTCGTGGCTCATAGGTTATGTGGTCGCAATTTTCACGCGACGTATTTTTTTGCGGATCAAATTTTTCGTCCTACCATCGTCGCGCCGAGATAAATGCGAGATCGCGCCTAGAAAAAAGCGGCATTTTTGCGAGTTAGTCAATGTACCGCCACCGAGCTCGCGTTTATCTCGTCAGTTATTCTTAGTGTTATGGACCTTCAAAGGTCAAGAATTTCAGTGTCTCCAAATGAGCTCATTTTAGGAAGGTATTTAGATCTTGCCCTTCTGGTAGCACAAAACTAATCTTTTTTTGTGAAAAAGTTTGAGAGCGTAGGTACAATTTTTCAAAGTTCCGCACACGGCAAGTAAATGTGTGCCAGTGTGGTATTGCGATTCGGCGGCATTGCGAAGCAAAGGCAGCGTAGAGCAGCGGGAAAGAGAACGGAATGAGGGCAAACGAAGTCACAGGTTCGTCCCCCCTGCTGTGCAAACTTGTTTTGCAGTTTTTATCATTTTCGGATACTTTTTTTTATGTGCTCTTTTGTGGGTTCTGAGAGAGGAAACACGAAAGTACCTCGTTTGGAATCCTTGTGAGTACATGGACTTCTATTTGCCAAAAAATGTTGAAGATAATTTTTTGTTATTTTCCATGTTTATGTGTTGGAGTGTTTTTTTTTCTCATAGCAGAGAAGTGGGCGAGACGCGTAGCGTCTGCGTTCGCGGTTCTTGGCACGAGTTCAATTCAGCCGCCAGCGACTAGTTGGAGATCTCGTTTATCGCTCTTTTCATTACTTTTTAAATTGTTTATTGATTTTTATTTCTGATTTCATATTTTTTTATTTTTATTTTTTTAGTAGAACATATAAAGAAAGAGCGGTGATCGAGTTTTTTGAATAGTCAATCGCGTTTGAATTGGACTCGTGCCAAGAACCGCGTACGTGCACGCTACGCGTCCCGCCCACTTTGCTGTCTCACTCGCCCTTCAAGCTAGGATGGATTTGCTATTAGAGAAAAAAAACCCTGCAACACATAAACATGGAAAATAACAGAAAAAATCTCTATGAAATTTTTTGACAAAAAGAAGTCCATGTATTTACAAAGATTCTAAACGAAGTACTTCCGTGTTTTCTCTCTCCAAACCCAAAAAAAGCACATACAAGAAAGTATCCAAATATGAAAAAAAAAATGCAAAAAACGTTTGCACCGCGTGGAGACCGAACTTGTGACCTCGTTTGCACCCTTCTGCTGTCTTCCCCGCTGCTCTTCGTTGCCATTGCTTCGCCGCCGAATCGCAGTACCGCACCGCCCGTGCATTTTTCTCGTCATGCCCGGAGCTTTGAAAAAGCGTATCTGAGCTCAAAAGCTTTCTTGCAAAAAGATGATTCGTTTTATGCTACCAAAAAGGCAAGATCTAAATGTCTTCAAAAAGAACTCGATCGGAGACACGGAAACGTTCGACTTTTGAGAGTTCATAACTTTTCTCAGAGACTTGCGAGGCATTTTTTTAGAATCAGATTAAGGATGAGCGTGAAAAACTAAATCTAGCAAAGTTGGTTTCATTCTGAAGTCTCACTGCGACCAGAGGACCTTCCGTGGTCAGGAGTTGGAGTTAGAATCGTAGTTTCACTTTTTCAACGAAATACAAAATAAAAAAGAGTTTCTTCTTGACGAAGTACGAGTGAGAATGTCTCCTGAACTTTCTCCCTGTCATTTATTTTTTTTATCTGAGGTCTTCGGAGATCTCATTTCAACAGTATTGCTTTTAGAAGTGGATCAGCCGACTTTTCCAGTCTTGGGTCAAGCGGCTTGGCAATACCAGGTACCAGCCCAAAGCTCTTAAAAGCAGCTGAGGGTTTTTTTTATTCTGTGTTGAATTGCAAAGGAAAAATGAAATAACAGTGGGCTAGCCAGGCTTGTGCGCGGTCTGGATTTTCAACCTATCGGTCTTCGTATAATTTTCGATAGATTTCAATTTCGAACAAATGAGAAATGTATTTTTGGTAAAAATTTTGAGTTAAGATGGCAATGTTTTTTTGAAGAAGAAAATTTTTTTGTCGAAGCCTGGCTTGGCCCGAGCCGGCGCAATCTTCATCGCCTTGGGCATTAGTTGCTTGGACCTTGGTAACGCAAATCGGACTCGTCCAAGACGTTTCTTGCAATTTCTAGTAAAAATAGGAGATGGCTGAAGCCGCTGAATGGATTATTAGAAATTTTTAGAAAAGTCGGGCGCGTACGGTTTGGGGTACCGAGGTCCGGGCAGGTGCGTCTGGCTGGACTAATTTTTGCAAAGAGTCTCGCGCAGGCTACGGACAAGCCAAGCTTCAAAAAATCTCAAATTTATTTTGAAAAAAAATTGTATCCAAACTCAAGTTTCTCACCGAAAAACGCTCATTCTCAAATTCGTAGTTTCTGTTTGAACTATAAAAAGACCAGAAACCTAATTTTTGTCGTAAAAAGAAAAGAAAGAGATGTCCGACTTGAAGAAAACCTTAGCTTCGCGGGCCTTTTTTTTTCGCTTTAGGCTTCGCTTAAACCGGACCGGGCTCACATATGCCATTAGACTGAAAAGACGGCCCTCACACAAGCCTGCATCGGACCTCGGTAACGAAAACCGAATGCGCTCCGGATTTTTCTGAGCATTTCTAGGGACGCCATTAAACTGGTCAGTAGAAATACGTTCGGTTTGCGTTATAGCCGATTCACGGCTAGCTCGGGACTCAAAAAAGCGTGGGATGTCTGCGCTCTCCAGCATCCACGCACTGTCTCTTTTCTTATCGTGGCGAGACCCTTTTTTCTTTTTCGATGGCTCAAGCCAGCCGTGAATCAGCTGTACCTCCTGTACCAGCTGTACGGTCGGTCCGCCGCGACACGGTGTTTCTTTTGCGACGCCCCGCCCACTTTTCTCCGTCAATTAGGACGTGTTTAGTGCATGCACAAAAAATTTGGAAAATAAGGTTAACCGATGATATAAGTGTGAGAAACGAATGAACATTGAAGAAAAAAGACGAGGAAATTAAAAGAGATTAAATAAAACTATATTGCTGTGGAGAAACAAATAAAAGATGTTTTACAGCAAGTACTTTTTATTATAAAAAGTTGACGGAATATCCGGATATAAATGAATTCCGGAACATACTTTCTCAACTTCACAGACTTTTTTCATGTAACTTCATCTCATTGATGTCCACAACCTAGGAATCTGAACAATCGACAAAAAAATAGGATAAGAAAACATAAAATGGGGTGAAACATGTTCCATACAAAAGGTGGAGATTTTTCAAAACGCTTCTTCATCACGAGTTTTGAAGTTAGCCTCACAGAACTACTTTCAAAAAAACGTCTAACAACCCAGAGTATACCCCGATCGTGGTCCCGCAATACTATCAGCAATCTACGAAAATAAAAAAAGTGAAAAAAAATATGAAAAAAATTGACAAAAAAATCAAAAAAATAAAAGCCACTTTTTTTCAAATTTCGCGGGCGAATTTCGAGAAGTGCGCAGACTTTGCCGAGTTTCAAATTCCTTGCATTTTTCTTCAACTGGCAGAAACGCCGTGGCGAAGACTTGAGAGTTTTCGCGCGTCTGTGTCTCTCTCTGTTCCCTCACCGGCGAGGTCAGAGAAACATTGAAAAAGCACGTAAACATGAGAGAGACGTCGAGAGAAAAGGAGGGCGCAGAGAAGTCCCGCCCTTTTAAGTTGTGAAATACGGACTAAACAAACTGTACGTCTCTTTCATGCAGAGAAAGAAATTTTCATTCTGAATTTCTGAAAAAGTATGTTGTTTTTATGCAGAGAAATGATCTTTTTTCTGAAAATTCGTTTTTTAACTCGTGTTCTTAAAACATGTTTCCCTTTAACTCTTGCTTGAAAGTTTTCAATTGATAGATACCAAACTATCCCAGTTTTTGACCGACATTCAACAAGCCAACCAAAATTTACTTGAACGCTTTTAAAATTTGTGTTACGATTTCGATTGGCTACGAAATTCAAACTGCTCGGGTTGTTTTTTGTTTGAAAATTTTCACACGTCTCTTGAAAATAGTTTCTTGAATTTTTTGATAGTTTTGGTTCAAATTTCCAGCCTGTTTTGCTAATTATACTTTTCGAAACAATCTCTGCAAACCGCGCCCCTCCTCCAAAAAAGCTTCCTGTTTCTAAACCCTCCTTCCTTTTTCGAAATGCTGTCTTCCGTGCAACCCTAAAACACACGAGGACCGATCCATATCGAAATGGGTCCAATTACTTCGAGGCGTCAGTTTTTGTAGCGAAAAGGAAGACGCAAATCGGCCATGTCGGGGCGTTGCTAGTGAGTGACCACTTTAGTAGCGTCAGCACTCGTTAAGTGATTTCTTAAATTGCCTCGAAACGTCCAGTTTCTGTCACCGAGATGCAGGCATTTTTCCAAAAACATAATCATTTCTATTATGAAGTTGCTCCAAAACGTTTTTTATTTTTCATTTTTAAAACGATTTTCTTGCGTTTTTGGGACAATATTGGTTTTCGATGGACACGGCGCAGAAAGAATATATGCGGTAATCTCATAATGAAATGATCCACATCAATATCCTTTGCACTATTTTTCACCTTTTTCATTAATGAAAAAGAACTTTTTAAAAATCCTTTTCCATCGGACTCACCGCCCGTCCGCCCTACTATGTCCGAGTAAAAAAACATTAAAAAAATAAATAAATGTATCTCAAAAAGGGAGAAAAAAAGAAGCATTATAGAAGTTTCCACGATAATAAAAACAGCAGAAAAATGAGAAGACACACGGAAAATTGAGCCAACGAGAAGATCTAAAAGAATATCGAGATAGAGCTGATGGATTTTTTCTTTCAAACGCACCAATAGCCGAAAACAAAGTCCACTTTCTGCTCAGTTTTGAGCCTGAGAACATACTCAATATCGGGCCTCTCTTTTTTCTCCACACGCATCGACTTCAACTCATTGAAGTCCTGAAACACTATTTCTCAATCATTAAAAAAAAATAGAATTAGTACCAGTTTCCTACATTTCCTCGATTTCGGTTTAAAAAAGAGCAGAATTTAATAGAAAAAATGTTCGGAAATTTTTTTAAAAAAAGTTTTAGAAAATTTGAACAGTTCAAAATAGCGAGATAGAGTCCAGGAAAAAATAATGTGGAACATACTTTTCAATATTCCACCATTTCGCTGAGATTTCGCCTTTCATACAAAGAGACCATTTAGCGGACTGAACACGTCCACTTGCAAGTTGAACCTTGAAAAAGAGGATGAATGGTGAAGGAAGGCAATTTCCGAAAATCGAAGTGGCCTGAAATTTCCACATATTCGATAAAACTCGAAAAAAAAAACTTACACGGCTCGCTGACCACTTGTCCAGTGAGAAGACCGATTGAAACAACACGAAAAGAGGCACCCGTCGTTTATTCATACACTTACCGCACTTTTTCTAGTCCAGGAAAACATTCTTTTCGTTCCGCTCAGGATAGGGCCAGCACTGAGTTCCTTCTCACCAAGCTTTCAGTCAAATCCTTATTCCTCCTTGTCTATTCTGAACTCCAGTGAGACCCATAGACTATTCCAAATTTCAACAACTGATGCCGTGCTCAAATTAATTCCACGAAACGCATAATAGCCGTTAGAGATAGAAAAAAAAAAAACAAAATTTTGAGGGCAAGAGGCCATTTTGCACTTTGCGGAAACTAATCTGAACACGGCATGAGCTTTTCCTAACTCTCAATGAAAAATGCCAGAAATTCTTGATGATCTACCCGACGCCGATCGTAATTTTCATTATTTTTGAAATTTTTTTAATTAGAGACCACAAGCCAGATCTAGAATGTGCAAACTTCTCAATGGAATATTCATTTTTCAAGCAAAAAAAAGTAGGGACCGCAGGCCATTTTTTCAAAGTGACTCAAATATTTTTTTCAGACCTTCTGATAGAGGAGATTGTCAATAATTATAACCCGTTCAGTTCCTGAATGAAGGATCACTAAGAGAAAAGGTATGGCCAAAAAACTAGCGCGCACGGCGTTCAACTGAAGCCTGAATCTGCAAAATTCTGTGTGAAATTTGTACTATAACATGAAGCACATCGTTAAATATTCAAATAATTTTAGTTCATGAAAAAAATATTAAGTTTGAGTCGAGTTTTGACGATTTTTATAGGGCCACTAAACAGTTTTAGTACTGCGGCCAAAGCCTCACAATTCATAACCGATCCACGGCTGACTGAGCCGTCGGAAAAAGGATCTTGACACGACGTAAGACCAGACACAAGCTCGCCGTGATTCATATATACTCGCTCCCGCACGCTTCGTTTTTTAAATCAGTTCGAGCCTTTCTGGACCTTTTTCGGATCGGTTATCTGTTCTGAAAGGTTGTCAGAACTGAGCTTAATGTTTTGAGATTTTTTTTTTCACAACTTTTCGATAAAATACCAAATAACTACCCAAAAACAAAGTCAGCGGGAATTTTTGCTCATTTTCTATCTTCTAATTGGAAGATTCTTACCGTTTAACAGGAAAACAAAACTAAACTCAAGAGAATGCCTATTTAAACACAGAGAAAAAATGTTAATGACCATAAACGGCTGTTGCAGCATTTGAAAACGAGATACAGTAGGTGTGACGCAAACTCTAGCACGCCCACTCGCACGAAGTCTTTCGAAAAAATTTAAAAAATGCCTACTTTTTGGGCTTTTCATCATCATTCGAAATTTTGCGCTGTCAGATTTGTCATTTTGATACTTTTTTGGATTCTTAAAAACATATCAAGAATTAGATTTTTGCTGTCCATGAAAGACATTCGAACGAAAAAAGTGATACTTGCTTATTTTTGTAAACTTCACTTCAGTGTGGTGAAGAGGCGGGGCTACGCACTCCCTATTTTGAAGTCGTTGAAGTTCAACGATTTTTATACAATGATGAGGATTCTATGAACTTTTTCTTTGGATTCTTCTGGAATTCGCTATTATCTCCTGTCGAAGTGACAAACCTGATGCGACCAAAATTTGAATGCCTAAATACAAATAACCGAGACTCTCACTCTCCCCAAACCGGAAAAATTTCCTGATTTTCCCGTCTCTATTTCCCATGACTCTTATGGTTTCCTACTGAAAACTCAGCTTTCCAATATTCTTCTCGGATTCAGATTTTCTCCCGGACTCTTTCCCAATATCAGGTAAATCAATCAGCCATGAATAAAAGTTTGAAAATCGAAACTTATACTGCGAAAAGAAACGTATGGGTTAGCAAACCCGCTTTTGAAAAGAAGGGAGTTTTTCCTTCTGTGAGGAAGCAATGTCTTCAGAAACAAGAAGAACGAATCGTGATTCGAAAGTTTCGAGCACTCAAGAAATTGGGACTGTGCAGATTTTGGAAAGCCATGTCTCCCTTCATAATATAGTTTTTCGGAAACTTGCTCTACCCAGCCAGGCTTCCCTCAAGGAAACATATAGCTGGATGAGGATCGTTCCATCACGCACGGAAAAGGGGTTGTAATGCATGTCTCTCAATCTAGCACGGGGGAATGTGGGGGCGGAGAGGGGCTTGAGTGCTCTGTTTTTGGTTACGAAAAACTTTCTTCTGAGTCTGTAGAAAAAAACTTCTCCAAAGACCCCCAAGCTCTATGATTTTTTTCTGCAAGATTATTGCCACAGTTATCTTTTTTCTCTCTCTTTTTCTCTTTTTTTCTCGGTTATAAGTTCACCGAGATGGGAAAAGATAACTGAGGCTCTAAACTTGCTAGAGACTTTTTGAACGTTGCTTTTTCTAAGTACAAGTTTCAATCCCCACCCTTCAATTAATGAGTGATTGGATTTACTGATAGTGCAAAAGGATCCGAAAGAAAATCAGGTCGCAAGAAAAGTAGTGAATTGCTGAGTTTTCAGTAGCAAACCATAAGAGTCATGGGAAATGGAGACGGGAAAATCAGGAAATTTGTCTGGTTTGGAGAGAGTGAGAGTCTCGGTTATTTGTATTTAGGCATTCAAATTTTGGTCGCATCAGGTTTGTCACTTCGACAGGAGATAATAGCAAATTCCAGAAGAATCCAAAGAAAAAAGTTCATAGAATCCTCATCATTGTATAAAAATCGTTGAACTTCAACGACTTCAAAATAGGGAGTGCGTAGCCCCGCCTCTTCACCACACTGAAGTGAAGTTTACAAAAATAAGCAAGTATCACTTTTTTCGTTCGAATGTCTTTCATGGACAGCAAAATCTAATTCTTGATATGTTTTTAAGAATCCAAAAAAAGTATCAAAATGACAAATCTGACAGCGCAAAAATTCGAATGATGATGAAAAGCCCAAAAAGTAGGCATTTTTTAAATTTTTTCGGAAGACTTCGTGCGAGTGGGCGTGCTAGAGTTTGCGTCACACCTACTGTATCTCGTTTTCAAATGCTGCAACAGCCGTTTATGATCATTAAAATTTTTCTCTGTGTTTAAAAATAGGCATTCTCTTGAGTTTAGTTTTGTTTTCCTAAGTTAAACGGTAAGAATCTTCCGATTAGAAGATAGAAAATGAGCAAAAAATTCCCGCTGACTTTGTTTTTGGGTAGTTATTTGGTATTTTATCGAAAAGTTGTGAAAAAAAAAATCTCAAAACATCAAGCTCAGTTCTGATAACCTTTCAGAACAGATAACCAAATAAAAACGGTGCAGAAAGGCTCGAACTGATTTAAAAACGAAGCGTGCGGGAGCGAGTATATATGAATCACGGCGAGCTTGTGTCTGGTCTTACGTCGTGTCAAGATCCTTTTTCCGACGGCTCAGTCAGCCGTGGATCGGTTATGAATTGTGAGGCTTTGGCCGCAGTACTAAAACTGTTTAGTGGCCCTATAAAATCGTCAAAACTCGACTCAAACTCAATATTTTTTCATGAACTAAAATTATTTGAATATTTAACGATGTGCTTCATCTGAAAATATGAACTGCAACAATGAGAAGATCGCAGATTTAGCCTCCAGTTGAACATCGCGCGCGCTAGTTTTTGGCTATAACTTTTTCCTTAGTGGACCATTATTCAGAAACTGAACGGGTTAGAATTTTTGAAAATCTGCTCTATCAAAGAGTCTGAAAAAAATATTTGCGTCACTTTGAAAGAATGTCCTGCGGTCCTCACTTTTTTTGTTTAAAAAAATAAAAATAACAACGAAAAGTTTACATATTCTAGAAGTGGCTCAAGGCCCCTACTTGAAAGTTGAAAAAAGAAAACAATGATCACGATCGGCGTCGGGCAGATCAACAAGGAATTTAGGCATAAAGACTCAAGAATTTGAAAAAAGGTTAGATGTTGAAGTTTGAAAAAGTCCAAGGGTCTCACTGAATTCAAAATGAATAAAAAAGAAATCGAGAACTAAAGGGAAAACTCGGTGGAAACAACTTTGCGCCGACCTATCTCTAAGCAGAATGGACACAATATTCTCCCTAACAAAAAAAACTGCGAGTAAGGTAAAAAATAAACAACAGGAAGCCTCTAGTCAGTCTTCTTTTTTGACGGGTGGCACCTCAAAAACTTATTTTTACGAAACAAAATCGACTGATGACAATTTTTTTTACTTTGTTCCAGTCCATGAAAATGCATTAAATTACAACTGATCTACAAAGTTGAATCTGAACTCGGATATAGGCTTATTTTTCTATTACTATAAGAAAGGTATGAATAAATCAAACATGTTTTTAAATAAAAAGAAGTTAGAGGAAAAATCATTCTCAGAAAATTTCGAGTTCAAGTGTTTCATAACTTCTTCAGTTTCATAAAAATAGCTTTTTAACTTTCTCTTAGATGAACCAATTTGAAGATCATATCTCAACATTTCCGTACCATTAAGCAATCTCCATGCTCAGAAACACTTCCAGTTTGATTTTTTCCAGACAGAAACTATAGAAAACCATTCAAAGCTCGGTCGCAGAATTGCGAAATTTCTGCAAAGAGTGTTCCAAACAGAAGGTCTTTCATGATTGGACCAGAAAAAAAGTTTGTAAGCTAGACTCCTACTGAAGTCTTGAAAGACATCTACCAAACGACCGAGACTTAGCAAACCAAGGTCCATTTAGAATTTGACTGAATAAATTTGATGGGCAAACATACTCAGTATCCTCCTTCGATCTTCCGGAGGATCCTGGCCATCTGAACGCCCGTCACGTGGCGCCCCTTCTGTATCGCTTCGAGCGACGTCTTTGCCGAGGAGAGTCGGCCAACCTTCCGCAGCTCTTCGTCGCCGGAGCCACCGTCCCGTAGCTTGGCCTCCAACTCCTCTCTGATCTTGAGGAGGAGCTGGGCCGGAGACAGACCAGCTAGGGCTGGCGGCACGCGGCGGACGGCTTGGCCAACGTCCAAGCCCCTGAGCCGTCTCGAGGCTCGTTGAGCCACGGGCCTGGGACGCTGAAACAAGCTCATAAGAAAAGATCGCAATCCACAAAACGCCGACTTTTTGAAAGACAAAGGGCACAAAGTCTAGGACACTTAGGCACATTGAGATTCTTTCTTTTCGAAAAAAAACGGCGAAAAATTCGATCTCATTGAAAAAGGACTGAGAAAAGTCAGTAGGACGGGGATTAGCAGCTTTAAAAAAAGTTAAGGATGCTTTATAGAGAAAGAAAGCCTCCTAATTTTTTTTTTTTTCAAAATTTGCTAGTTACCTGGCCGGCGGGCAGTTTTTGGGTTTGACCAGTGCCGGCAACACCAGCCGCAGCTTGTTGAGGAGCTGCGGCGGGCTGGGCTGCTGGACCGGCCTGGTCAACGGCCTTCTCCTCCTCGACGACCTCCTCTTCGTCCTTCTCATCTCTCTCCTCCGCCTCATCTTCCACAGCCTCCATCTCATCTCTCATTTCTTCGGCTTCTGGCACATCTTCGCCCTTAAATTCCAACATTAGCCTTTCAAAAAGACCTGAGATCTCTAAAATGAAACCCAATTTGTCTCCTTGCCTGAATTCTCCTTATATTTTCCATTAATTGAGCCTTCTGAAGTTTCACTTTTAAAAAGATCCCAAAAATTTTTAATTCACCGCCAATTGGGTGTATCTCATCTATTTACTTCAAATTAAAATATTCTAAAGTATAAAAACACTGGAATATTCTGCATGAAACCCAATCACCAATTTGATCAAAGAGTAAAGCTTATAGTTTTAAAAGTCGAGTCTTTTGAGAACTTTGAAGTACTCTTCGTCGCCAGCTTCACAGAAATTTTGTTCAGTTTTGAGTTTCAGGCCGAAAATTATTTTTCTAATGTTTTAACCAAACGACAAGTGCAAGAGAAACTGGGAAAGAAACCTGAAGAGAGGAGGTCTGCACGGCATCAATTTGGGCGTCTTCGGCGGCGATGGTTTCGGAGTCTTCAGCGCGAGGAACCTCTGCGGGTTCATCTTCGTCATCGGAGACTTCGACGAGGTTGGCTCGGGCATAAGCGAGGGCGATACGTTCCCGGTCGCGTTGAGTGAGGAAGAACGAGTCGGACGAATTGGACGAGCCGGTCTTAAGCAACTTTTTTTCAAAAATTCTCTTTGGATTTGCGAAGACAGGTAAATTTTCATCGAACTAATGCGGTTATTGTTTTTTTTTCAATGTACAATAACTAAAAACTTTAATTACAGTAGTAGAACTCGCCAAAATTCGTTTTCCGGAATTCTATCAAAATTCCGAAATTCTATCTATATAAAGATATGAAAGGTTTGTGATTCTGGCAAGGTATTTTTTTCTAGTGAAATCAACTTTTTGGTTTCTGTTGATTTTTTCATTTTTTTTAAAAGATAAATAAAAGTTGATAAGAAAGAAGTTTCTATCTTATTCGAGTTTTTTTGACAGGCTAGACCTTTGGGTTTCTTGCCTATAATTATTGTTTTGTTCCGAGTTTTCAAATCTCGAAGAAATTCCAACGCATACTATAAGTTCAAGTTTTCGTGAGGCCAAAAGACGAAAGAAAAAGATTCGCAAAACTAACCTCTTCAACGAACTCTTCCATGGCTTCCAATTCGAACAACTCATAAACGTCCTGTAACTCTTCGGACCATGGTTCCTTAAATGAATATTTACAACAAAAAAAAAGAGAAATATTCAGAAAGCCCCCTCTTTTTGAAGCTCAATTTGATTCGATTTTTCTTTTTCTGATATTTTTTTTTCGTACATATAGTCTGTTCAGATTTTTTTATTTCAAGTGCAATGACGTCATTCAAAAACACTCTGTGGATGGCTCGCTCTCTGATTGGTTTATCGCACCATTATGGGCGGAGCTTGAGCGACGACTTGACATTCAAAAATCTGAACAGACTATAGGACACAGAAAAGGGATGGCAAAAATTTTTTTCAAATCTTCAAAAAAATTAATTTTCACCAAGTTTTTTTCTCCTCATTAAATTTATTGCCTAATTCAAAAAACTGGCCTAAATTCATTAAACTGACGGACCGGCTCTCGCACAAGCCTGCCAACAACTCAAAAATAATGAGAAAAGTTGGACAAACTTGAGACCTACAGAAATATTCGGGATTGATTCGTTGGGTGGATAGATTATGATAGAAATGCTTGAAAAGAGAACAAAAAGGAAGGATTTAAAAAGATCTAGAGGAATATTTCCGAATGATCGATGGGAACATCTCCTACCTCACAGCCGAGTGAAGTGAATGATTGATTTCTATAGCAGAAAATGGAAAATTACCGCTGATGAGGAGCTCGATGACGATCCGGAAGATCTCTCCTCCTCTTGGTCTTGTGTCGGCTCTTCGACTTGGTCGGCCAGGGAAACCTTCTGGTCCTCCTGTCAACAGCAAAAAGTTTTTGCTTTTTTTATCTACATTCGAATTGATATATTAAATGATATTGAGATCTTCAAAGTTATATACATTGTGTGGTTTGATTACGATAGAAATGCTTGAAAAGAGAACAAACAGGAAGGATTTAAAAAGATCTAGACAAAATATTTCCGAATGATCGATGGGAACATCTCCTACCTCACAGCCGAGTGAAGTGAATGATTGATTTCTATAGCAGAAAAATGGAAAAATTACCGCTGATGAGGAGCTCGATGACGATCCGGAAGATCTCTCCTCCTCTTGGTCTTGTGTCGGCTCTTCGACTTGGTCGGCCAGGGAAACCTTCTGGTCCTCCTGTCAACAGCAAAAAGTTTTGCTTTTTATCTACATTCGAATTGATATATTAAATGATATTGAGATCTTCAAAGTTATATACATTGTGTGGTTTGATTACGATAGAAATGCTTGAAAAGAGAACAAACAGGAAGGATTTAAAAAGATCTAGACAAAATATTTCCGAATGATCGATGGGAACATCTCCTACCTCACAGCCGAGTGAAGTGAATGATTGATTTCTATAGCAGAAAATGGAAAATTACCGCTGATGAGGAGCTCGATGACGATCCGGAAGATCTCTCCTCCTCTTGGTCTTGTGTCGGCTCTTCGACTTGGTCGGCCAGGGAAACCTTCTGGTCCTCCTGTCAACAGCAAAAGTTTTGCTTTTATCTACATTCGAATTGATATATTAAATGATATTGAGATCTTCAAAGTTATATACATTGTGTGGTTTGATTACGATAGAAATGCTTGAAAAGAGAACAAACAGGAAGGATTTAAAAAGATCTAGACAAAATATTTCCGAATGATCGATGGGAACATCTCCTACCTCACAGCCGAGTGAAGTGAATGATTGATTTCTATAGCAGAAAATGGAAAATTACCGCTGATGAGGAGCTCGATGACGATCCGGAAGATCTCCTCCTCTTGGTCTTGTGTCGGCTCTTCGACTTGGTCGGCCAGGGAAACCTTCTGGTCCTCCTGTCAACAGCAAAAGTTTTGCTTTTTATCTACATTCGAATTTATATATTAAAATGATATTGAGATCTTCAAAGTTATATACATTGTGTGGTTTGATTATGATAGAAATGCTTGAAAAGAGAACGAAAAGGAAGGATTTAAAAAGATCTAGAGGAATATTTCCGAATGATCGATGGGAACATCTCCTACCTCACAGCCGAGTGAAGTGAATGATTGATTTCTATAGCAGAAAAGGAAAAATTACCGCTGATGACGAGCTCGATGAAGATCCGGATGATCTCTCTTCCTCTTGGTCTTGTGTCGGCTCTTCGACTTGGTCGGCCAACGAAACCTTCTGGTCCTTCTGTCAACAGCGAAAGGTTTGTTTTTATCTACATTCATCTTTCTTTTCTCTTTCATCATTTTCTCGATTTTTGCAAGTTGTTGAAGTTTCTTTCATTAAGAATTCCCCGTAATTTTGAGTTTCTGTAGGAAAAAAAATACATACAACTGTGTTATCCTCTGCGGTCAGCTTCGGAGCTGGCTCCGATTCTGCGTCAACTTCTCCCGATCGTTTTTTGGCCGACCATTGTGCGGGTCCCATGAGACTCTTCTAAACTTCAATCATTTCTTTTCATTTCCTTGAAGTTCATGAACTTCATAGGCTGCGGGGAATCCCCCTTTTCCAGATCTGAGGAGAAATGAAAGCCAAATTTCTTCTATGCGGATTTATTTTCTTTCAATGCATATGAAAACAGTTCAATAAAATACTTTTGAACAAGTCGAAATTCTGCTCAATGATTTTCGAAAGTTTATAGTCTGTGTACCACGACTTGGAATTTCACCGAACGACATTTCGCTGTGCCGCTGCGAGCCTTTGCGAACCTTGGTCGCGCTTTCAAACTTTTTTTCTTTTTATTAAGGTATTCTACTTTAGTGTGCTCCCACAGCGCTAACAATCAATTGAAAGCGTGACCTAGATTTGAAAGACGCTTCGCGAACACACGCAGCGGAACAGCGGAACGTCGTTTGAAGAAATTTCAAGTCGTGGCACACAGACTGTATAAGCTTTTAATCGATAAAGTTTTTTTAGATGGTAATAGAATCATTCGTAATAGTTCTTTTCTCGCTTGGGAAAGGATGCTTATGCTAATATACGCATTTCCTGAACGCTTAAGAAAAGTTGACCGATTCAAGAATACTTTCACAATATTCAAGTTTTTCCGGCATAAGGACATAAGGAAGCGACGTTTTTTGAAGAGCCCTTCATGATTGAAGAGCCCAGAGTTCATTTGAAAATTTTTTGATTATGAGTTCTGAAATCGTTCAAAATAACCTTTGGTGGTAGCGCGGACCGACCCTCTCCTTGCTTTCTTTTTCGCATCGTGACATGACAGACCGGAGACGATTCATGAGTTTCCTGCAAATTCAATTTTTTCTTTGTTCGGCTTATTGGAATCTTTTTGTGAGCTTATTCGAAACTTTGAAAGTCGTATTTTTTTGAAGAACAGTTTATAAATTTTTTTCCTGAAAAAACATCTCGTGCTTGAATTTTCTATTGATTATAAGTTTTGAAATCGTTCAAAAATAACCTTTGGTGGTGACACGGACCGACCCTCTCCTTGCTTTCTTTTGCGCATCGTGACATGAGATACAGAAGGCGATTCAGCGGTTTCCTGCTAATTCAATTTTTTCTTTGTTTGGCTTATTGGAATCTTTTTTTTGGGAGTCTATTCAAATTTTAGAAGTCATAGAATTGAAGCATAGTTCATAAATTTTCACGGAAAAAAACATCGTGGGTTAGATTTTTTTCTTTTGATAAGAAGGTTGGAAATCGTTCGAAAAAAAACCTTTGGTGGTGGCGCGGACCGACTTTCTCCTTGCTTTTTTTTCCGCATCGTGACATGACATACAAAAGGCGATTCAGGAGTTTCCTGCAAATTAAATTTCTTCTTTGTTCCGTTCATTGGAATGTTTTTTTTGCGTATCTATCCGATTTTTCAGAAGTCGTATTTTGAAGAAAAATTTTCGGTTTATCTCGAAGCTCGCAACATTTATATTGAATATCAAAGTCTTACAGAGTATTTAGTGGAGCAAAAATCGCAAAAACGTCATCTTGATAGAATTTGAAATTCAGTAAAAAAAAATTTGTACTCAACTTACCAGGATTGGTAGATTTTCAAAAACTTTAAGGTTTGAAACGAAAATTGCAAAAGTTTTTTCTCATTTTAACGCTTTTTATCGATTGAAGTCTTTCAGAGTTACTAGTTGGAGCTAACCGAAGGCGAGTTGGGGACGCTGGCGCTTTGTGTGTGTACCTGGGGGCTTTCCGCTTGGACTTCTTCGACACGACGGCGTTCCACTTCATCATCTCCTCCTTCCTCTATCATGGCCTCCTAGAAGAGTGAGTTTTTGTTTCTCAGTTCGTTTTCAGACCGATTTCGTTTAATACTGAAGAAATTGTCAGTTTTTGTTAAAATATTCTTGCAAAAATTGAAACGATTTCCCAATATCGAGCCACTAGCTTTTATTTGCACCTATGAAAACCAGCAAAGTACTAATCGGTTTTTAAGTTTTCAGTGAGTTTTTATGTTTCCGATTTCAATAAATTCAGAACCGGACAAATTAACCGTTTAGCACAATTTTTCGACTTCCTGGTTGTCTTTTCAGACTTCAACCTGTTTCGAAGCAGATTCTAGAAGCGAATCTTCTCTGGGACTGTTCATGAAGCGCACTTTGCGGAGCCATTAAAATCCATTACAACTAAAAGAATTTCATTCAATTCTCTTTTGAAGCATTCCTACTGTAAATCTATTGGTCCTTGATGGATAATTAAGATCGTTAGTGAAAATTTCGATTCAAAATTCTCAAGACATACAGAAAAAAAAAATCGAACCTTTGTGTTTGTGTCCTCTTCGGCTGCTCTGGGCGGACGTTGGCCATGGAGCCTCAACTCCAAGCGCTGAAAAATGGAAATTTTTTTTTTTTTTGCTAAGTTAAATTTCATCCTGTTCAGTGAGATTTGTAGGGCTCTTACTGTTTGTTAGTTTTTGAGATTACCATTGATTATAGTCAACCTTTCCCGACTCGAAAGGCGAAATGGGTAGATTGGCAAGGGTGAAGCGTTGCGTGTGCGAAGCGGCTTTTGGCGGGTACCACAAGGTCAAACACAAGCAACTTTTTGACACTTTTTCAATATTTGTAATTTTTCATGGGTTGCAAAAGACTCAGTTGAACGACTAAAAGTACAAAATTAATAAAAACTTTTTCGAAATTTTTTTCTATGATTGCGTTTGACCCTGAACACCCCAAAAAGCCGCGTCGCCCTTGCCAGCCTACTCATTCCGCTTTTCAAGTCAGGAAACATTGATTATATATTGAAATTTATCTCTTGAATTAAGTTCTAAACAAAATCTTCCAAGCTCCTTTTGGTCCTACGGGGCTCGATATGATACCAAATTGGTACTAAAATTTTCCGAATCGATTCACTTTTGAAAAAAATAATTAAGGTTCTGGAAACGTTAAGGTCGACTTAATTTCGTTAGTTCGATTTTTTTTTTGCTGAATCCATTTTCGCTTATTTGAAACTGGTTTGAACTTTTTCGTCAAAGAAGCAGTGTTAGTTTCATCCGTAGACGAAGTTGAAAAATTTCATTTTGAAGATTTTCGCAGATTTATTGAGGCGTTGAAACCTCTTCACTCATCAAAAAGACCCAACTTGAGAAACGATTTCTGTTTGAAAAACTTTCGATCACATCAAAATCTCACCGGTGTGCCCTGCTCATCGGTGTGCACGGCGAGCTCGTAGAGGGCCGGCTGTCCTACTTGGTTTTGTTGGTTCTGGCTCAGAAAGCTCGATACCTATAATTTAGCCATGTAAAAGAGGTTAATGAAATTAATGGAATAAGAATTTTTTTAATTGGAATCAACCTTTTTTAAATATACTCAGAAGCTTAATAACTATTTTAACTGTTAAAAAGGTCGTATCAAAAAAACCTCAGTGGACAGAAAGATCAAATATCGAAAATCGTTGGCTCTTTTTTCTGAAAAGATTTTCGGGAACAGCTAGGTATGAATTCCTTTCCAAAATATTGAATCGAGATAACTTACTTCTTGAGCCTCGTATCGCCCGAGGACCAACTGGTGGTTCGGTGGCGGCTGTAAAAGCAAAATTCCCGTTTTTGTAGTTTGAACTTTGAAGTTCCATAACATAGCGAGGTTTTTAACTTTTTTAACTTTTTTGAGGAAGTAGAGAATCTAGTATAGTCGTCAACTTAAACCGTTCAATCGGACGTTCGTACATTCTCTTATCAAAAGTTGACTCCGTTTCGAAAATGCTCAACAGGCGATTTTCAACCGGTTAACCATTGAAAAAAAAAAATGTTTGGGTTGAAGTTCAAACATTTTGAAATTGATATCACAAAAACAACGTTCGATATCAAAAAAACATCAATCGATTCAAAGTTCGATTTTGACGACTATAGAATAGGCTTATAATAAGTTAACTTTTTTGCTTCCAAATTTTCCGATTGTCTGCCAAAAAAAGAAATTTCTGAAAAAGATTATTTAAGCGAATATCCAGAACGGCGGTTCTTTATATCAGTGTTTCAGCATCTTTCCCATTAAAGCATTGATTTTATATGGCTCAGAGTCTTTTCGAACTCTAAAATGTGCAGCCGAATCGAAAACGAACCAGGTCTTGGCCGCCGTCTTCTGGGGGAGGCATTCGCCTTCCTTCGTTCGCTTGGCGACATTCGTCGCGGTTGTCCATTGGACCTAAACAATCATTTTATTGAAAAAAGGTTTTCAAAAACATTAAGTTTCAGTTTTTTTTTTCATCGTATTAGCTTGCTGAGGCCGCATTCAATATAGGAGGAAAAGATTTTTCGCCATTATCCTGAAACTCGGAAACACATTGAAATTTTTTCTTTCCTGTCCCTAAAAAAGGAAAATTTTGTTTGACTTCATTGCATAGGCTTCAGGACCGCCGTTCAATTAAGTTTTGAAATTTCAGGATCAACCATCATGATAAGGCTGAAAGATCCGTTTTTGGCGACTTCTATTTTATTTCTTTTTTGGTTTTGCTGAATTTTTATCGGATCGAACTTGGTATTATCGAGAAAAAAACCTTGCTTTCGAGCTTGTAGCTCTTCTCGCTTTCGATTTTAAGTCGAACTTGAGCTGCTTGCTTGCCGACTGTACCTGTAAGAAAGACAGAAACTTCTCCACTCGTTTTGAATTTTCATCTGATTTTTGCCTGATTTCATCCGGATTCATCTGATTTCGATTTAAACAATTCAAATCATGAAAAACGTGCGATTTTTTCATTTTTGAAATTTTACATCAACGAAGAAACCGGCTTTTGTGATTTCTGAGCTTTTCCGATATTGAGTGTTTCCGAATAGAACTTTTTTTTTGAGAATGGAGCGCAAAAATGATAAAACTAAAAGACAAGTGCGAGTTTTTTTTTCTTCAATATTTGACCTTTTTTCAACGTATCATTTATAGTCAATGTTTCCCGACTTGAAAGGGGAGGGACGTAGCGTGCACACGCGGTCCTTGGCGCGAGTTCAATTCAATTGCCGCCGACTACTTAAAAAGCTCGGCAACCGCTCTTTCTCTGTATTTTCTACTATTTTTTGATGCACAAATTAACATGATCAATAAATAATTTAAAAAAAGAAGTGAAAAAGAGCGATAAATGAGCTCTCTGAATGCTCGCTGGCGGTCGAATTGAACGAGTGCCAAGAACCGCGTACGCACACGCTACGCTTCCTGCCTCTTGCCTCGCCTCTCTCACCTTTCAAGTCGGGAAACATTAACTATATCACGTTTATCTCTTTCTGATAGTTCAAGAAGTACTGAAATCTGGAATCAATCACAATTGGAAACTCCAGACGTATATTGCCTGATAATAAAAACTTCTGGAATTACTGTAACCTCTACAGTGTGCTTGGGCATTGCACACTCTGTGAATCAAATCTTGCATAGGAGGTCGTTTTTAGCTTGGGGTTCAGAATTTATTATAAATTTGCTCGAAATTTAATTTCTGGGAATAGATTTCACATAGCGGCTATCTGCGCAAAATTCTAGTTTTAAGATATTGTAACGCGGGAAAAAAAATTCCCCTCATTTCCGCGTTATTTTGTTTTGCGAGGTTAAGCGACTCGGCTTGAATCTTTATTTCGTGGCGCACGCTAGCAGTGCGCCATGCCAGAGTGATGTTGTAATGAATAGAGAGGGCGAGTGCCTCAGGCGCCGCCTCTCTTGGCACATGTTCACAAAGCATGATGAAATGTTGCGATGATAAAAAGGAGAACCATTACATCCAACCCCTGGACAAAAGACTCGTCCCGAGGCTTTAAAAAGAATGATGGATGATACTTAACATAGTAAATTACTAGAGCAATTTAAAAGAAAAGCACCACATCCCGGGCGTCGACGAAAGTCTCGTCCTCGAGGCTTCAAGATCTTAAAAGAATGGTTCTCAGGTGAACATGTGAAACAAAAATCAGATGGAATGTGCCGGACTTTGGCTTGCCTAGTTCGCCTAACAACTGAAGTTACAAATACAGATTCAGAAACAATATCAAAACGATGGCAGATGAATACTCTTCAGAACCTTAGCTCAGTTTACACTATTTACCCAATAATCAGGTACTGAGCTTAAACAGCCAATGAGATAGATATGAAAAGGAAGTGAAGATAAACATTTTGGTAAACTAGGTCGGGCGGCAGAAACAATGACGTAGATTTAGAAAAAAATTCTTCAACAATTTCACTACTCGGTCCAAATAATCATTAGCATTCAATAATATCTATAAATTCAAGGCTTCTTGGCCGGTACTCTCACAGTTTGCTTTCCCACCCCCCATCGGATGAGTACAATAATAATAATAATTCGATTAACAATATTCAAGGACGCTCAATAAAAATTCAAATTTTTTTCGTTAAAATTGCCTCACAAGTTCTGCTTCATCTGGCTGCTCACGTCCTTTCCTTGGAGTAGTTTCTGCCTCGCTCGTACCCGAACACGATAATACGAAAACTGCCGATCGTAGAAATAGTTGAATATGAATAGGTGTAGCGGTAAAAGTAATTCAGAATCCGAGAGTCTGTCGTAGTTCGAATAGGGGAATGACAGGAATTCACCTTCCACCGGATGGAATATGGTGGAAGTTCTCGGGACCTCCATGTAACGCGGGAAAAAAAATTCCCCTCATTTCCGCGTTATTTTTGTTTTTGCGAGGTTAAGCGACTCGGCTTGAATCTTTATTTCGTGGCGCACGCTAGCAGTGCGCCATGCCAGAGATGATGTTGTAATGAATAGAGAGGGCGAGTGCCTCAGGCGCCGCCTCTCTTGGCACATGTTCACAAAGCATGATGAAATGTTGCGATGATAAAAAAAGGAGAACCATTACATTATATACAAATACTACGAAACGATCACATTGCTGTCCCACTTTTGCGTCCATTACTGAAGTTTTTAAAATTTCCACGTGTTCGAAGATCACGTGGCGATACACAAACAGCAGTTTCTGCTGAGAAGTGTATCTCATTCCCAAAAACTTCATGCGCCCTCGCCGATCGGTTCTCCACTGGAGAGCCAGCTGTTTTCCAAACAGCCAGTATCGGTCTTGAAGTCGTCAAAGTCCCGTACTTGGGCCAGAAGCTATGCTTCTGTGGATCCTTGTGATCCCGCTATACTAAACCGCTTCAAGTAGCGGCGTAGCTTGGTCAGAGGTCTTTCAAGTAAGACCTCCATCGTAGTACTACTACATGGCATAAAGCCATCCGAGTTGATCAGAATCTGGTGAGGCTAACGCCAAATCACCAGCTTTCTCCAAGCAGAGTCATGCTTGGGGGAGGTACGAAGCAATACCTCTATCGTAGTACTACTACGTGGCATAAAGCCATCCGAATTAATCGGAATCTGGTGAGGCTAACGCCAACCCACACGCTTGCTCCAAGACGAGTTATGCTTGGGGGAGGTACGAAGCAATACCTCTATCGTAGTACTACTACGTGGCATAAAGCCATCCGAATCGATCGGAATCTGGTAAGGCTAACGCCAACCCACCAGCTTGCTCCAAGCTGAGTTCTGCTTGGGGGAGGTACGAAGCAATACCTTCATCGTAGTACTACTACGTGGCATAAAGCCATCCGAATTAATCGGAATCTTGTGAGGCTAACGCCTAATCACTAGCTTACTTAAATCATAGTTATGCTTGGTGGGAGGTACGAAGTAATACCTCAATTGTAGTAATTGCTACAAAGCGTCTAGTAACCTGAATAAAATCCCCATGAAAACAAGGGATAAAGCACTAGATCGCTCCAAGCATGGGTCGCTTTCTTAGACTCTCACGTCTCGAACTCTACGGGCATGCTGCCACATGAGTAGTATCAGGCTCTGAGGAAGTTAAGACCTTGTATATATCAAGTTAGATATATACATATATGACGGCATGAACAAGCCATCTTCAAGATCAACCCATTGAAGAGAAAAATAGTTCTAAACTCCAGAGCTTCAATTATAGCTAGGAGAAAGGAGCACCCGGAAAGAGGGGCTCTGTCAGACATCGAGTCAAGAAGACTTGATCTGTGTTGAGTTGAGGAGCGACCAAATAAGGTGTTCCTTAGACAATGGTAGGGAAAATCCCCTCACTGTCAAAGTTAACCAGATCGAGAGTTGCCCTAGAGGATCTCAGTTCAGTAGAACTTACAGGACGGGTTTGTCCTGCTAAGATCCGAAAGTCGAAATCTAAATATATCATACTGACACCAAAATCAGTAATCACTCGACTAAGGGTAAAATTGCCACCTCAAGCATGTCTCTCTCTCGCAAGACGGCACTCAATGTTATGAGTGTTCGAAGAACCTTCCAACGAAGGTCGGTCCCGAGCACAGCGTGAAAGTTTAAAAGGGATCAGAGCGGGATAACGAGACCCAAAGATTTTGAACGCTCCGAAATTCTTCCAGCGTATCAAATCAAATCCTCCGCGGCACAAAAATGCCCAGAAGGACGACATCAGCTCACGGCTGGAAAGTTTGTCATCACAAAGTGAGACAAGACCTCGTACTCCGAAACTGGAAATTGCTTCGACACACTTTGAAAAGCATTCCAATCAAAAGCCCGATAACCGGAGTGATGGCGCATGCTAACAGTCTGGAAAGGGAAGAGAGTTACAAGGTAAAAAGTATGACGATCGCTTTTTCCGTGCAAAAACGTTGCGTTACGGATGACGACCAGTTTGATTCTGTATCAGAATTAAAAACGTCATAGTGTCAGATTCTAAAGCAAGGCGGATCTGATATAAGCCGATCGAGAGCACGCAACAGTGCCAAGTCCAGCTGAGACTTTCCATCATATGGTAGGATCCAACAGGAAATTATCGATGGAAAAGGGCCTAATAGGAATTAGTCGGAAACTCGACGGAGCCTAACAGTGCCAAACGGGGACAGTCTGCGAACTAAAGTGAGACGTCCTCGTGGATCCGAAGCTGCAGTGATTTGGTAGCTGACATTCCGAATCTTCGCTATAAGCGATAAAAAAGATTGGAACGTCCAAAACGGATCGCAATCAAGAGGAACGGCCATATCTAGTCTTCCAAAACGAACAAAATGTTCGGGGTTCCACCGGAGGCGTTCAAGACGCTTAGGTGGGAGCGGAAGGCAATAAGCCTACGTGAGTCGTCTACCGCGACGGCGATTCACCGGAGTTTCTCTTGAGTGCTCTGAAAAACTCAAAGGTTTCATCGCAAGAAACAGTAATCGACAGTCCAGAGATTCCTGGACGGCGCTGTGTGCTACAGTCATAGCAGGATTACTGGGCGAAACCTTATAAAGGAGCGTATTCGATTGCTTAAATAGGCGAATAAGTATAATCGAAACCCTGGAGAGCAGCTTCCCAAAAACTCTATCGAGCAAAAAAAGGATGCCCTAGCTACCAATCCTCCAGAATTACTATCAGCAAACACTCTTATGACCGTCAGCTGAAGGGCGAAGTCGGAGATTTTTTTACTTCGGCTAAGAGCCCATGAAAAGAATTCAGTGATGCGTAATCATAGAGAACTTCTGAGAAGGGAGAAGCCTGATAGATAATCCACGAAAGGAAAAAGAAATTTCCAAAAAGAATCCTTGCAAAGAGGCGGGGAGGTATCGTGGTATGCGACCTCAGCGGAAGTTACGTCAGAAAGTTAGACGCTTCCAGAAAGAGGTCACTAGACTTGTCCACGTGCTTATTGAAATCAATCAGATGGTACATTCGGAAAGGTTCAAAGACCGAATAAGAGGACCAGGGAATTGTTCCACTGGCGTCTCCATTGTGATCATAGATTTCCGATAACACGCAAGTCAGTTCAATGAATCAGAGATCAAGAAATCCCAGAGCGGATAGGAACTCAAAGGAGGCCTCCAGTGGGATAGTATTGCATCATATATGATCTCTGGAAAGAGCTTAGCCGGTAAATCGAGTGGTTCAACCATCAGAAAAATACCGCAAAAGCAGACCAATGGGGAAACGGAGAGCAAGCGTAACAAAGGGAAGAATCTCAAAACGCTGGTCGCTACGACCTCTCGGTTCCACCAGGTTCATTGGACGCCACAGATCGCACAGGAAACGCAAAGAAAGGGACTAGAAAATGGACGAATCTTCGAATGAACGGTTCATAACAGTCCTGGCGAAATATCATTCCTGGAGAGGCGAACCTTGGCAGATTCGTAGATCCTGACGGATCCAAGAGTGTAGGTTATGCACCAAGTGAGAATCCCAAGTTCGAGCAAATCTGTGTAGAGAAAGCGAGAATCTGTTTGGAACTAAAAATACGCCGTTCTATGAAACGTCGTTATTTCCAATAAGCCTAATGAGCTATTGGATTCGGGATTCCAGTTTAGATCTCGGTATGGAACAGTGCAGTAGTTCCATTGCTTACTAGCAGGATTGATTCGAACAAGTTTTGAATTCAGAGGTGCTCAAAGAGAAGCAAAGACAAACCTCTCCAATTGCTAGAAGAACGGTGTCGAATACTAAGAATTCGTCTGAACAAATAACTAACAGGTCTCGGACGATAGCAATCGCTAGAGTGAGACCAGGGCAAGCTATGCTCTCAGTTATCAGACTGAACGGGATTCTTAGCTATTAGAACGGTGAAAAACTGGCTTCGGACCCAGATAGGCAGAGCAACCCTCGACTCGGTTGGCGATCCGTAGAGGAGCACTGAAAGAAGTCCTGAGAAGCAGTTCTCTCTAAACTAAGCGAAATTGTGTCAAAATACACATCGCGAAATCCTGAAACAGGACCGTTAAGGCCTCAGGAGACCCATCAAAGAGAGACTATCATCGTGCTCACACCGAGCTAGTTCAGGAGGCACACACAACAAAGAAGTTGAAGGTTGAAGTTTAGAGGCTGAGCTATCAGTCGAAGGCGTCGCCAGATGGCCCCTTCGCGAGGAGAGCTTCAGATAACGCTCAAACGCCTTGCAAGCAGGAAAATCCCAAATTCCGAGGCTTTGAACTAGCAATGTGATCGTTTCGTAGTATTTGTATATAATGTTATATTTTTGCTAGACAACGCAGTTGTTGACGTAAAATATTTATTATATATTAATACGAAGAAACGATCAGATTTCCCACCCTAGGTATCTTCACAAGAGAAGATACATTTTTCCCACCCGTGGGGAATTTGGTGAGGTAATCAAAGCGTACAACAGGCGCAGAAGGTCAGTGAAAAAAATACGGGCATACCCGCATGGCCATCGTTACTGTTAACAGCAGCTCAGCTGAACCGCTACAAATTGGCGAAATGGTTGTCTGAGGTGAAGCGAAGCACAGAAGTGAAGCCGCAACGCTCAGGTCATGTCGCACACAAGAGCTGCGTCATTCCCAAAACAAGAAGTGTAAATTAACTTCGAACATGGTTCGGGCTCGGACGCATGAAGTTTTTTTGGGAATGAGATACACTTCTCAGCAGAAACTGCTGTTTGTGTATCGCCACGTGATCTTCGAACACGTGGAAATTTTTAAAAAAACTTCAGTAATGGACGCAAAAGTGGGACAGCAATGTGATCGTTTCTTCGTATTAATATATAATAAATATTTTTACGTCAACAACTGCGTTGTCTAGCAAAATATAACAATATGTGTTTCAAAAAGTTTTTTTATGCTCAAGCATCCGCGCCAGCAGCCATTGCATGACAGCTAGAAGCGTGGTGCAGTGGCTAGCGCGGTAGCTTGCCGATTTTGTGATTAAGGTTCGAATCATTTTGGCGCTTATTCTTTCGAAGGATTTTGATGAAAATATCGAAAATTGATGATTGACTTTGTTCAACTTTAAAAAAAATAGGACCGTTCCAAAACCGTTCAATGGCCATGATCTTTTCGAAAAAGAAATACTTTCAGCGGACAAAACTTTTGAAAAGTCCCTGAAGTTTTGGCATGCTCGGTTCTAATCCTTAAATTTGATCAGAATCCTTCGAAAAAAAATTAGTGGCAAAAAGATTCGAACTCTTATTTTAATCTTCGCAGGCTATATCGCTGGCCACTGCACCAAGCCGCTAGATGTCACGAAATGGCTGGCGATGAGGACAAATTCCTTCCAAACGGCGTCATGTGGTTAAGAAACTTCCAGTTAAATCTCAAGCAGCTTCTCCGAGACGTCATCTTGACCTAGCCCTGGGCTCACGTAGCAATAATAAATTTTGATGAATACCACGTGTAAACTTTTCTCGTAATTCAGGTTTTTTTCTCTTCTTTTACGTTTTCACGTTAATAAAAATATATGAGCAAATAGTTTGATTTCGCGTTTTTCTGCGCATGCAAAGTCCAAATGACCTCAAAAACGCCTTAAAAACCTGAAGCTCATTTTTGATTCCCTAAAAATGTGTCAAAAGTTTCTCGGAAACTTCTTTTTTCCCTTTTTTTTTCGCCTCCTATTTTCAACCACCTTAAAAGGTCCTTTTCAGAAGAAGGTCAAGAAAAAAGGCCTTTTAGGCCTTTTATAAGATTTTTTTTAAAAAGTGTTTTCTGAGGCCTTCTGAACTTTGCCCGAGCGAATGATTTCATAAAGTGACGTCAGGCAGTAGCGGTTTGAGTTTTAACGGAATCCGTTCAAGGAGCAAAACTTGCAAAATTCATATCTCCAAAACTAGAAATTTGGGC